AAAAAAATAATAATAACAGCATGGTACTAGGACCCAAGTTCGATCCCCAGTACCCGCCGCCCCCAAAAAAACAGCATGGTACTTACCGGCAAAGAAACAGACCTGAGGATCAGTGGGATAGACTAGAAGATACAGAAACAACTCCAAAAGTAATCAGCTACCTCATCTTTGACAAAGGAGCCAACCATCCTCAGTGGAGAATGGAGGAAAGATAGACTCTTCAAAAAACTGTGCTGGAAAAACTGTATTTCAACTTGTCAAAGATTAAAACTAGACCCCTATCTTTCACCATGCACTGAACTAAAATCCAACTGGATTAAAGATCTTAATATTAAAACAGAAGCACCAAACTTGCTAGAAGATAAGTTAGGTAGAACTCTCAAAGACATTGGCATAGGAAAAGACTTTATGAACAAATCCTCAGAAGCATGGGCACTAGCACAAAGAATCAACAACTGGGATCTCATCTTATTAAAAATATTCTGCACTGCATGAGAAACCACCAACAGAGATAACAGACAACCTACAACATGGGGGAAAAAATTGCTAGCTGTTCCTCAGACGAAGTCTACTATTTAGAATATATAAAGAACTCAAAAAATCAGACCCTCCAAATATAAAGACCAGATTCAAAACTGGGCATCTGGAATGAACAGACATTTCTCAGACAAAGAAGTAAAAGCTGCAAATAAACATATGAAAAAATGTTCAACATCACTGGTTATTTGATAGATGCAGATGAAGACAACACTGAGATTCCACCTCACCCCAGAAAGAGTGGCTGGGGTCAAGAAATTAACCAATAACAAATGTTGGCTGGCTTGTCTCCATTGTTGTTGGGAGTGCAGACTGGTGCAACCACTATGGAAATCATTATGGAGATACCTCAAAAAACTAGGATTGTAGGTACCATTTGACCCAGCTATCCCTCTGCTGGGTATCTTCCCAAAAGAATTAAAAGAATCATATCACAATGACACATGTGCACTCATGTTTATAGCGGCACAGTTTGTAATAGCTAAAACTTGGAAACAGCCCAAATGTCCATCAAGTGACGACTGGATAAAAAAGATATGGATTTTCTATAAAATGGAGTATTACTCAGCCATAAAGAATGAGAAACTAGAAACATTTATAGCTACATGGATGCATATTGAGGCCATATTCTTAAGTAAAATAAATTGGACACCCATGTAAATACTGAATAGTTTTTCTGGTGTGAAAAACGAAAAGTTTAAATAAGGTTCAAATTGTATAATTGATAATGTGAAATAGGAAGAAAAGGGCTAAAGGAATAGGGGAAGTGGAAAGGATTGAGGGGAGGAAAAAGGGGGAATTTTAAAAATATGAGAAAAGGAAAACATGAAAACTAAGTCTTTGTAAATAGGGAAGGGTGAAGGGGGTGAAGGGAAAGAAGGAAAAATTTTTAAAATATGAGAAAATTAAAAAATGGAAACAAAGTCTTTGTAAATACAGAAGGGTGGAGGGGGTGAAGGGAGGGTATGGGGAAACAATAAAAAGAAAGATACATTGGGCCAGGGATTTAGCCCAGTGGTTCTTCCGCCTGCCTTGCAAGTGCAAGGACCCGAGTTCGATCCCTGGTACCAAAAAAAAAAAAAAAAAAAAAAAAAAACAAAGATACATCATGTAAAGGTACAAGATCCCAATGATGAATGTAACTGTGTTGTATAACTAAAACATACCAATACACAATGAAAAAGAATATAGATTCATTAATTCTTAAAATATTAGCAGAATATAGATTCATTAATTCTTAAAATATTAGCTAACAATTTAGCAATATATAAAAAGAATCCTGTTCTGTTCTATTGCCAAGTGGTTCCTCTTTCCATGGTGTGACACTATTTGCTAAACTCTCAGCAGACTGAACCAGTGAGGCCCACCAGATCTTTGATTAGAAACCTCTAGGAATGAGGTAACTAAACCTCTTTTCTTCACAAGTAGCTTGCCCCTGGTATTTTGTTACAGTGAAAAACTGACTAATAAACACACCAACTCATGCAAGAATTTTTTTTAAATATATGTTGTGCTAAAATCATTCATAAAAAATATGAAAAGATGGAAATTTCCACAACTCAATAAAGACAATCTATATAAAATCAGCAGCTCACATTATATTGACAAACAGCTAAATGCTTTCCAAAAAAGAAATGTAGAAGACCTGTCTTCAGAATGTTATTAACAATAAATGCCCTACGCATAAATATGGATGTTTGACCCAATGCACAAAGGCGTGAAAAGGAAATAAAAGCTATTCACAAGAGAAAAGAAGTAATAAAACCATACTTATTTCCAGATTATAGGATTGTGTAACAAATCCCAGGGAGCAGAGAAAATAGAAAAAAGAAAAAAGAGTAGGAGAGGTTGAGGGAGGATGGAAAGCCGGGAGGAAAGGAGAAAATAAAGAAGAAAAATCTTAAAACTAATAAACGAACAGAGTGTGGTCACAGGGTAGGACCCAAACTTACAGCGATCACCCAGTATCCATTTATCCTAGCAATCCCTTCAGATTCCAACATTTATGAGTGCTCAAGACCCTTTATAAAATAGTGTATAATTTGCAAATAACTGACACACATCCTCCTGTATACCTAAATTTTTTTCTAGATTAAGGTACCTAATACACTGTAAATGCTGTGTAAATATTGCTGTGCCGTGTTGTTTAGGGAAGAATAATTTTAAAAAGCACCCATTTGGTACAAATGCAAGTTTTTTAATAGTTTCAATCTGAGATTGATTGAATCTCTTCTGAGATTGGTTGAATCTCTGGATGTGAAACTCTCAAATACCAAAGACTGGATGTATATTTCTATATATATTCCATGAATATCAAAATTCAAGCAATGCCACTTCAAATTGCTCAAAACATGAAAAAAGGTATAAATCAATCATATACAAGACTTGCAAGCTGAAAATTATAATGTAGTAAATATATCACAGACAATCCAAGACACACTCCATGTGCATAGATTGGATGACTCAACATAGTAAAAGATGCATTTCTTCACAAGTTCATACACAGATTTAGTACCATTCCTATCAAAATCCAAGAAAAACTTTTCTTTATGGATTTGGACAAACTTTCTCTACAATTTTTACAGAAAAGAAAATTGTGTAGAATGGCTAAACCAACTTCAAAAACATAATAACGTGGGGGAAATTGCTCTGCCTTATTTCATAGCATTATTGAATACAGTAATCAGAATCTGTGGCATTGGCCAAGGTATAGATACATAGATCAATGGACCTGAATTAGATGTGACTCTGATGTTCTCACATAAATATGCCCCAGTGATTTTGATTAAACTGTGAAAGCAATTCATGGGGGAAAGACGGCCTTTACAACAAATGGTGCTGAGGCAAGTGGATGGCCATAGGTAAAAAGAAATGAACCTCCAGCTAAATTTTACATACTATTCAAAATTAACTCTGGGGGAGGGGGTGAAGGGAGGGCAGGGATAAGGGGAAAAATAAGAACCAAGACCTATCCTGCAAAGGTACAAGATCCCAGTGTTGCATGTAACTGTACTGTATACCTAAATGCACCAATAAACTCAATTAGAGAAAAAAAATTAATTCTGACTAGATTGTGAACTTATAATTAAACCCTAAAACATTTAGAAAATAGGAAAGGAAGTCTTGAGACTAGCAAAGGAACAATGAGGCTGGAAACTAAAATCAATTCATAAAAGAAAAAATTAACACTATTTGCAATGGGAACGCTGCTGTTATGACTATGAATAGACAAGCCACACATCATGCTAAGATATTTGCAAATCATGAAACCAACAAAGGATTTATTCCATAATAAATTGTCTAAAGTTTTCAAAACGCAACAACAAAATAAATACATAATCCAAATCAAAAAAAAGACAAATAATACAAAGAGATATTTCACTAGGAGATACAGGTGGCAAGAAAGCACATGAAACAATATTTAATATTATTAGTCATTAGGGACTTGTAAGTTAAAACCATAGTGTAATATCACTACCTAGAAGGCTATCAGAAAAGCTAAATTAAAGAAACAGGGACAATGCCAAATGCTGATAAGCATGTAGAAAAACTGGATCACTCATACATTGTTGGTTGGAATGCAAAAGGAATATGGCAGTTTACAAAAATAGTGCAACTGTGCTATGATTCAGGAACTGGATTCTTGCACATTTATCCCAAAGAAATGACAAACCTGTACCCAAAGGCCTATTAGGGAATGTTTACAAGTGCTTATTAAGAACGTCAAAAACTAGAAGCAATGCAGATGCCCTATAGTGCATGAATGGCTAAACTGTAGTGCATTCAGACCATAGAATACTACTCAGGAATCAATGAATCTTCAGTGCAATAGGCTGCTAAAAGAAGACAGTACAAAACAGTTACATACTATGCAATCCCACACATAAATCAGGGAAGAGGTAAAGCCTGTGCTATGTGGATGGGATTGTGTGACCTGAACAGCATGTTGTTTGTGGAATGTGAAACATGGTGCATGAGAATGGCATTGTGCGTCTTGTGTTGTGGGTCAGCGTGTGCATTGAGAATGTGTGTATCTGTGTGGTGTGCGGCTGTAAGTGTGAATACGTGGGTCTGAGCTGGGTAGTGTTGGAATGCTCTTGTAACAGCTGTATGTTGGAAGGCCCTGCTAAAGAACTCTGTCCTCAGGAAGTCCAGAATTCACATAGTTTCTAAAAGTTACTTTGTCTGGTCCCTTAGTTTGACATTTCAAAGACAGACCTTTCTGGGCACTGGTTCCTGTTCCCCACACTGTAGTCATTCCAGGGACCCCGAGCCCCCATCCATGTTCCCTGAGCGACAAACCCTACCTGGGCTGCTCCATAGTACACCAACCTCCTCTAGCTGCCCTGGGATTCCTCACCCTCAGCCTTGAATCTCTTTGCCTTGTATACAAGGATCCTCAGTTCTGAGGAGGCTCATACCCAAAAATATTCAGTCTCACACCACGGGACCCTTATTCTTACTGCCACAGGTGAGTCGAGGGAGCTTGGAGGGAGAAGAAACACATGAGAAGTATTCAGAAGCAGAGGATGTCTCCCCTGTCCCTGGGCTCTGGGTTCTGGATGCTCCAGGTGACCTTGGCTGAGAAGCATCATCTGGTGACCTCGAGGCTCCTGTAAAAGTATGACAGGCAGACAGGTATGGTTAGTTGTCCTATTTGTGCATGATGCACCTATCCAGAAGATGTTTTCCACAGTGTCTGACATACGTACATCAGGCATGGATGCACACAGCTTAGAGTTGAGCTCCTTGTGGTTGCTCTGGTATTTATTTGTAGATCACATTTGGCTACGGTTTTATTAAGAATGCAGGGCAGTGTGCTGGCTGTATAGTGGGAGAGTGATGTGCATCAGGTATCTATCCTGTGATAGATACCTGAATCGGTGTGGTAAATGCAGTGGAAACATATGTCTCTGTCTGTGAATAACTTGTATCTATGCTTAATGTTCACAACTCAGGAATTTTGCAATATGTAATTTTTCCTTACTATATAATGCAGCTTGTATTTCTGATGTCTGTTCACTCAGTCATGAGAGCAATATTTATTAGACACCTACTACATATTAAGCACTGTTTTACTATTCTTCTAGGTTCTGAAAATACTGAATAAGATAGTGTCTCTTCTGATTGGATGTAAGAGATACTAGATTTAGTATTTAAAAATACCTGTGCCCACTTAAATTTAAATTTCATATGTCACAAATAATATTTAGTTTAAGTGTATCCTATGGAATATTTAGGACATACTCATGTTTAAAAAAAAACATTTGAGGTTTATTTGAAATTTAACTTTACCTGGTCTTCATGTGTTATCTGGCTACTGTTAGAAGGGTGTGGTAGGGAATATTTATTGATGGTTTGTACAAAGTAATGTGAGCCCAGTATTTTACATTTTATATCATGGATATGCCACATTGCCACATGTGAGTGGTTCTTAAACAGATATTTTGAGATAGTCTAAGTCAGGTCTATTTTTATGGGTCAAAGAAATACACATAAATGTAGGTATGAACACAACACACGTGTACACACACACACACATAAACACACACACATCTCCAGCATTTATCACAGGAAGAAACGAATGCTCTGCACTTGGGTTGTATGCGGTGCAGTAAGGCACGGTGTGCTTATGTAACCACAATGCTCTGTGTGTGGTTTACCACAGCGGAATAGTGAGGAGATTGTGACACTTTCTAAATCAAGGCAGGATATCTGTATGACTAAGTGGTGGAAGATCCTCAACAAGAGCAGTGTGTCTACTGTCACATCTACTAAGCACACCAGGTTTAGTGTAGAAATGGAACATCATCCTGAAGAGTTCACAGTAGCTGACCGCTCCACTACCATTCTCCCCACTGCTCCTCTCCTAACACACACAAATGGACAAAACTTTCTAAGGTAGCGATGTGGGTGGGAGAGAGAAAAACACTGCCTCCCTTCCTGGGAAATTTGTCCCCTTTCCAGGCCTTCATTTCCAGCCTCATCCTATAGTCCTCCAGACCTTGGACCTCAGGGAAGCTGCTGGGCTCTAACTTGGGCAGATAGATGCCTCCAGTCAGGTCTCCCTGGTGGGTTTAATTCTGCCCTGCCTCCTACATGTGGCTCCTCCTTTCGGGGCCACCTGCTACTTCACATTTGCTATGCACAGTGATCACCTGGCTTGGGAAGTGCATTCACAGCTTTCACTGCTCTCTGCATCCCAAGGGCCAAATGTGTCTTCCACCATTTGGTCTTGGTCTCTGTAAAGCCTTCCCCTTCCCTTTATTTCTCTGGGAATTTTCAATCCTGTACACTCACAAGCTTCAGCAGAATGATTGATCGATTCTTCCTCCTGAAGTTATGAAATTCCCATGTGTCAGTATGATAATAAGCCGAGTCAGTCTGCTTTCTAACAAGCATGTCATTTCTCAAGTTATTTTTCAACTCCCTGAACTACTCTTTCCTCTCTCCAAAAAGGGCTAACTCCCAGATACTATCATACTGTTCACAACTCCCTCTCAGTTACCCCCAGGGAAAAACAAATAAATACAGTAAGAGAGAAAATGGGTGCCTTAGTTTCTTTTCACATTGCTGACACAAAATCCCCAACACCCACAGGTTAAGGGAAGAAAGGTTTATTGAGCGCGCAGTGTGTAGAGGTTTCAGTTCATAATTGGCTGGATCTAAGGCACAGGTGGCATGGCAGAGGGGTACTGCAGAGGAAAAGCAGTCCATGGCAAAGCAGAGCGGGCAGGCAGACGACCACAAGCAGCAAACAAGTAACGAGTGACAGTCCTCTTCCTGTCCCTTATATGCCATCCAGGCTTCCTGCACTTAGGGCAGTTTACACTGATACACAGAGTTGTGTGCCCTTCATCCTATCCACAACTATGTCACAATAGTCAGTGGGCTGAGTTAGTAATCACACACACTTGTTCCAGGGCTGAGTTAGTAATCACACACACTTGTTCCTAGAATCACACACTAGATCCAGCCACTTCTGAAAAGTGCCACTAGGATACCATAAGGCCTGAGCCAACATCTAAACAGCCATAACAAAGGGAATTCAGAAGAGCTGTCATCATCTCTGAAGCCCATCTTCCTGGAGTCCGTAGATAAGAGATGCCAGCACCCTTGCAAGAGCTCACAGAGCAGTGGGTCTGGCTATCTGTTTGCCATGGGGCATCTGGACTTTTGGGCCATCAAAGCCACTGTAATCCGTGGCGTGCACCTGAGAGGATCAACTACTATCAAATCACTTCATCTTTACTTTACATGGGATCTTCCCATCAATTTTGCCTTTCTAGAGAAGGCTCAGGACAGCCAGCATCCCCACACCCAAGACCAGCTGCTCGACACACACCTCTTCCTTTCTCATCAGTTTCTTCAGAATCCTCACTTCCAACATGCTTTCTCTTTTGCTGTCGTTTCATAATGTCGGCTGGAAATGAGAGAACCTTAGAGGATGCTTAGTGTCCAGCTCCCCCTTCCCTCCAGGATGGCCTTCTTGGCACTCAGGAGACCCAGGGAGATGATTTCATACGAATAAAAGCAGGACAGTCTCCTAAACGGCAGAAGCACTCAGCCCACTTGCAAACCGGCAGCCATGCCCATTGCCCACCACACTGCAGGCTGCTCAAGTCCAAAGGTCAGCTTTTCTGACCTCAGTGATGACAATGGAGCCCTCTGCGGAACTCAAGGCACCAAAGATTCCACAACTGCAAATGCCCCACTTTCAAGAACGATTCCTCCTTCCCTGTAGAACTACTTTAATGTATTCAACTCTCTGCCCCTTCAGTGTGCCAAGGAATTTTTTGGTGTTAAAATGCTTCAGACTCATGGTTCCCTTTTTTCCTTTGCTTCAGTTCCCTTTCTGTTCCTAAGCAGAAAACATGCTCTGTGTTCATTGTTCACAGTAGGAATAGGGCAGAGCCGAAACCAGCGACAGTTTGCTGACAATCTTGACTTTCACTTCTAATTCTAAAATCCCAAAATTTATTTAAGAGAGATACTCATGAAGAAATATAGCACAACAGGGTCATTGAGATTACACACTCACTCCCTTCAGGCCCTACTGTGTGTTTCAGGAGAAGTTAAATTAGGTCAGGGAGAGAGACTCGTCAACCGTGGAGAAGAGTGGCCCTGGAGTATGGCTGGACACTGGCATCGGATGAAATTTCAAGAGGAGACTGCTGCATTATGCATACAAGCAGAATCATGGCAACCCGTTCTCACATGGCAAAGGAGTCATTCGCTACAAAGGAGCCATGGCAACCAAGCTAAACAAATCTAAACAATTGCTACATGCTCCAGTAAGCAGTGACCATACTCTCAACCCTCCCTAAAAACATAGCCCTCATGATTTCCAAATAACAACTACTGGGCATGCAGGCAGGACACCCGCAGGATCAAAGTTTAAATTGCAGATTGGGTGGAGTAGTAACATCTTGCTTGTTTGTTTGCTTTTCTTCCTTCCTTGGTTCCTTTCCCTTTTTCTTCCTTCCTTCCCTCCTTCTTTCTTTCTTTCTTTCTTTCTTTGACAGGTTAGATGTTCTCTAGGAGCTAGGATCCTAGACTCCTGTATCACATACCCCATCAAATGAGCCAAGGTTACTCTGTCCCTGGGTAAAACAGTCTGATGAACTTGTGTAGACACTAGACGTTGAGAAGAAGCCTAGACTCATGGAAAAGCCAACATGATCACCCTTGTGCAGAAACAGACCTCTGTTTAGATTTTAAAGGATTCCATAGTGTGTGGGCTTTGCTTTGGGGAATGAGGCCTGATATATTCTCTGTTACTATGGCAAAGCTCAGGTATGCAAGGCATCACAAGGACCAGAGAGAGAGCAGGGGATGATATAACAATGAAGACAAAAAGTATGCACTTCCTGGTGTGAGTTTCCATTCTGATGGTGAACGTGTGCCAGAAGGAAGAAGGAACCAAGGACAGAAGTTTGTGCTGGAGCCTCATCTCTCATACTCGTCATCTGTAAGACCAGAGTGGCTTCCCCCTCTACCTTCCATCTAGTCTCCCCTCTGGCTTCCTACACCATCAACTGTCACCTTCAAAATTCCTTCTTCCCCTTGAAGTGTCTGGAAAAAGTTCCCACTAGGCAAACACACACTGCTCAGGGATAGGATTCATGGGTCAAAGAGTAAGATGAGAGGAACAAATGGAGAAGGACATGGAAGAAGATTTACTCCTCTACTTCAGGCTCTAAATTGCTAAAATTTTACAAGGATGTACTGAAATATAATTGTGTAATTAAAATTACACACATGTTGAGAAAAAAGAGTGAGCTTTCCACTTTTAGGAAACTGACAATATCAAGCCTGAAATAGAAGGTACCACAGCAGACCCTGTGCAAATCAAATAGGTTCAAAGCAATCCTGACAAACTCCATACTGTAAACATAAATTTGACAGATCATAAAATGGACCAGCTCCTGAAAAGGTACAAACTACCCACCACTCATTGAATATATAACACACTGAAGTTATATAACTATGAGAGAAATAGAATCTCTAATTTTTACACTTGATCTTAGCCAAAAGGCCGAGAAGCGATAGAATCTCTAATTTTTAAATTTCCAAAGATAAAATAGCCATGACTACATGGTTTCCCTGGAGAATCATACCAAACATATAAAGAAGAATTAAGCTACCTTGATATCAAAAACAGACAAGTTTAATACATAAACAAAATTAAATTCCACCGTCATCCATGAATGTAGATGTAAAAATAATTAACCAAATATTAGCAAATAGAATTCTTCAATATATAAAGAAAAATCAAAACTCTTTTCCCATAGTTTGTAGGCTGATATAACACAGTGGTACCTCCATTCATGAAATTAATTTGTTCTGCAATTCTGGAAATGATGGCCACACTTGTTTTCATGTGGGATTCTGGGAATGATGGCCACAATACAAAGTTCATGAACAAAAACAAAAGTTTGACAAATGCTTCTGTTTGTGAACCAAATCGTTTGCAAAGAAAAGCATTCCTGAACTGAGCTACCACCGTATTAGAAAGCCAACCAATGTAATCTAACTTAATAGACTAAAAATAATTACACTCATATTGTTGTAGTTTGAATAATCACTGAATGAACGTCTTTGTGTGTGTGACATGGACCCTGGGAAGACCATATTGGAAGGCATCCAAAATTTTAGAAGCGAGGCCTACTGAGAAGTTTTTGAGTCACACTCTGCTGTTAAGCTCTCACCAGACTGAACAAATAAGGCTCCCCCAGACCTTGGACTAGGAACCTCCAGGACTGTGACGTCACTAAACCTCTTCTTCACAAGTAGCTTGACCCTGGTAGTATTTTGTTGCCATGCAAGACTGACAAATAAACACACCAACTGGTGCAAGAAATTTTTTGAAATATATATTTTATTAACACCTGTCATAAAAGTATGGATAGGAACTAATCCCAACTCAGTCTACTTAAAATCTATAGCTACCACTATACGCTACACAAAGACTAAATATTTTCTCTTTAATGATACAAACACAGTAATTTGTCTTCTGTCGCTTTCTTTTTTATAACATCAGAGATTCTGACTCTTAAGTATGTCTCCATTTTTACATTTTTATCAGTACATGTTTTCAGTACATAGTGATAACATTCTTTGTGGGGAATTGGCACACATACATAACACATTAATTCTTTTTTCAACTTTATCTTGGTCCCTTCCCTTTTGAAAAGATCTATTGTTCTACTTCCTATTATCTTTTATTTTATTTTGCTATGTATTTAGAGTTTGCTTTTCTCATATGAAAGAAGCAGTATGATATATAAGTTTGTGTGTCTGGTTTATTTCACGTAACATTATGGTCTTCATTTATTTCACTCATGGTCATTCACTTAACAAGGTGACTCAGTTTATCATTTTTTGTACCAGGGATCCCACTCTGGACCTTGCACTTACAAGGGCAGGTAGTGGCATCACTGGGCCAAATCCCCAGCCCCCAGTCCTGAGAATAGTACTCCCTTGTGAATAAATACCCCATTTTCTGTAATCATTCATCTATTCATCTGTTCATAGGCTGCCTGCAAGATTTAGTTATCATAAATTGTATTGCTATAAGCATGGGTATGTATATGTCAGTATAATACGATGTCTTTAACCCTTTTGGGAAAATGCCTAAAAGAGAAATAGCTGGGTCAAGTGGAAATCTGTAGTTTTAATTTTTTTTGAGGAATCTTCATATTGCTTTACATACTTGTACAAGTTTGTATTTCAGCCCACAAAGTAGAGGGTTCCTTCCCCACCCCATAGCCTTGCCACTATTAGTTATTATTTGATTTATTGATAATAGCCACTATTTCTGTAGTAAGCAGTATTTAATTTGTGGTTCTCTAATGGCCAGTAATATTGAATATTGTTTTCAAGTTCTGTGTATTTGTTGGCATTCTGTACTTCTGGGAAGTGCCTGTTCACTTCAGTTAGCCATTTTTTGATTGGACCTTTTATTTGGGGTGGTCTAATATTTTTTAGTTCTTTAGATGTCTAGGAAATAGGTAGCAAAATTTTTTCCCATTCTGTAGACTGTCTTTTCACTCTGTTGGTTGTTCTTTTGCTAGGTGAAACCTTCTTAATTTGGCATGATCCCATTTGTTGATCTTGGTACTATTTCTTGGGCCACTGGGGTTTTGCTCAGAACGTCTGTGCCTATGCCTATATCTTCAACAGTTTTACCTATCTTGTGGCAGAGCAAGGGTTTTTGTTTTAAAATTTAAATCGCTGATCCATTTTGATTTTAGTTAAGTACATGGTGAGATGTATAGGTCCAGATCCATCTTCTGTATATGGATAGCCAATTTTCCCAGCACCATTTATTAAAGAGGTTATCTTTTCTCCATTGTATATTTTCAGCCCCTTTGTCAAATATCAGATATCTGCATATGCCTGGGGTTATTTCTGCATCTTCTGTTCTGTCCCATTGATCCATATATCTGCTTTTGTGTCAGTAGTAGGCTGTTTTATCGTTGTAACTTTGTAGTATAGCTTCAATTCAAGATTGTAATGCTACCTACTTTGCTCTTGTTACCCAGGATTACATTTGCAATTCTGGGTCTCTTCTGGTTGTATATAAATTTTAGAATTGTTTTCTTTAATCCGTGAGTACTGTTATTGCTCTCCCCATTGGGATTGCATGAAATCTATATTAGTTTTGGAAGTATGGTCTCTCTGATTGTATGGTTCTACCTATCCAGCAACAGAAGATATCTTTCCGTTTCTGATGTTCTCTTTGATTTCCTTTCTCAGAGTATTGTAGTTTTATTGTACAATTCTTTCATTAAGATTAATTCAAAAATATTTAATTTTTCTTGATGCTATTATGAATAGTATAGTTTTCCTAATTTCTTTTTTAGAGAATTCATTGTTGGATCATAGGGATGAATTAATCTTTGTATGCTGATTTTATGTCCTTCTGCATTACTTAATTTGGTTATTAATTATGGAAGTCTTTGGTGAATTTTTTTGAGTCTTCTATGTAGAGGATCATGTCATCTTCAAATAATTTCATTTCTTCCTTTCCTATACATAACTCTTTTATTTCTTTTTCTTACCTGGACCTCTGGCTGATGCTTCAAGTACTAATGTTAAACAGGAGTGGTTATAGCAGACATACTTGTCTTATTCCTGGTTTTAAATATAAAGCTTTCAGTTTTTCCCCATTTAGTATGATGTTGCCAGTAGGTTTCTCATAAATGGCTTTTGACAGATTGAGATAGGTCTTTCTATAATTATTGTCTTCAGGGTTTTTGTCATGAATAGATTTTGATTTTGTCAAGGCTTTGCTGCATCTATTGAGGGGATCATGTGATTTTTGTCCTCTATTCTGTTTATATGATTCATTACATTTATTGATTTTGCATATATTCAACCATCCAGCCTGCCTTGGATAAAGTCTGCTTGATCATGATGTATGATGTTTTTGATGAATGATTTGTTGCATTCTTTTTGCCAGTATCCTATTGAGTATATTTGTGTATATGTTCATTAAGGAGGTTGACCTGCAGTTCTCTTATTTGCTGGATTCTATTCTGGTTTTAGAATCCGAGTAAAGCTAGTTTCCAGGAATGACCTTGGGAGTATTGCCTCCCTCTCAAATTCATTAAAGAGTTTGAGGAATATTGGTGTTAAATTTTCCCTGAACTTCTAATAGAATTTAGCAGTGAATCCATCAGGACCTGAACTTTTCTTAGTTGGTAGATTTTTTTTTAATTATTATTTCTTGAATTTGGTTTCCTTTTATTGATCATTCAGGGTTTTTAAATCATCTTGGTAGAGTTTTGGTAATTCATACATATCAAGAAATCTATCTGTTTGTAGATGGGGAGGGGAGGAGGGGGTGAAGGGAGGGCAGAGGTAAGGGGAAAAAATGAGAATCAAGACTTGCCATGTAGAGGTACATGATCCCAACAATGAATGTAACTGTACTGTATCCCTAAAATGTACCAATAAACTCAATTAAAGCTGAAAAAAAAAAAGAAATCTATCCATGTTTTCTCAATTCTCCATTTTTTTGATGCTCAGTTTTCA